CCCTAATGGCTTCCGGATTTATCATATCTTTCTCTCCCATATTTCGCAGGTCAGGCTTGCACACCAAGTCCTGCAAAAGGTTGTAAGAAGGTATCTGCAGCGTGATAACCTTATGGTCTCGAGCATAAAGCGTTTGGCTGAGCTGGCGAGAGCGGGAAGAGAGGCTCTGATGAACTGTGAGGTGGACGAACTGGGGAACATAATGTCAGAAGCCTGGAGATTGCATCAGGAGCTCGACCCTTACTGCAGCAACGAGTTTGTGGACAAGCTCTTCGCTTTCTCACAACCCTTCTGCTCTGGTTTCAAGCTCGTAGGAGCTGGCGGTGGAGGATTCGCCCTTCTACTCGCCAAGAATGCTGAGAAGGCAAAAGGATTAAGACAGAAACTGGAAGAACATCCTCAGTTTGATGTCAGAGTGTACAACTGGAGTATCTGTCTCAAGTGCTGATCCCACTACCTGATGTGCAAAGGTACAAGCATTATCATTGTATCTTTTTCCTTATGTGAGTTCGTGAGATATTGTTTGTGTTAGATCTGTATACGCATTGTATTTTGGTAATTTGGTTCAGTCTTTGGGAGAAAATAAGATTATATGTAATCAAATATCAAATATCAATGGTAAGATTACGTTGTATTCTTTTTTTATACTGAATTTGCATTGTGTTTTCTACGATTAACCTCGTCTTCCATGGTGCTAATTACACGGATGAATACATGAAAATTCCAGTCAAGATCATCATGCAGGTTGAGTTTTTTTACGTGGTCGTGAACTTATGGTTGGTTGTTTAGCTTTGGTCCAGCAGCTTTCTTTTTGGAATCCCGCTTAAAGCATGCTAGATTTGCCAACTCTTCGACTTCTTTGACGATTTCTTGGATTCTTGTTGCGTTTTCGATTAGCAGAGACACCATAGTGGCTAGTGGAAGAACTTCATGTAGGCTTATTGACACAATTCTGCTTTCACCTCCTCCTTTGTCCTGAGCTGGATCTTCTTCAGGCATGTCGGTTTGGTTTTTCACCGTTTTTAAGGTTTCTTGAAGTTCTTGTACTGCAGAGTTCAACTGAAACAACTGGAAATCCATATTGGATGATTTTCTCGTTTTCTTCATCATTGTGGCTAACTCTCTCAAAATCTTCGAAGAAGCTGACCCGACTTTGGTACAGCCTTCTCTGAGATGATTCTTGAGCCGATCTGGTACCTGTAGAAGACAATGTTGCGTAGTTTCATGAAATCTTTCATCCATTTTCTTCACAAGATCTTGCTTAAAGATTGATCTGAAAATATACCTCTGTTTCTGAGATGATGCAGATAGTGAGATTCTCAAGGCAATATGCACATCTGCGCATGGCTGCCCCTGTTTTCAGGTATTGCTTCCATGGATGCCAGAAGTTGAAGCTTCCATGACCCGGTTCCCATCTAGCGAGATTCGCCTGAAAGATCACAAAACGAAAAGCTTTATATAAGCGCCTGAAGATCAACAAGGTCACATTTTTTCCCCTCAACTAAAATGGTTGAAAGTTACCATGGATTCTTCAGGTCCCTTAGAGTTGAGCACGCATTTAAACCCTAGCATTTTTTTGTTTGTTTCTTCTTCACCTTCTTTCTGAGTTAAAGCTTCTTTCTCCTTGAAGAACTCTGCAACACATCCTGCGATTCCAGAGACACCATTGTTATCAAGAATCTTTCCTTAAAAGCTCACCTTTTTTTTTTTGAGAATCCATACCGTCCAGGGAATGGGCGAGTTTTTCCAGGTTATGCTGGAGGAGACGGTGAAGCTGAACTCCTGCCCAAACGGGACAGAAGAAGATGCTTATGACAATGCAGATCGATGTTCCAATGGCGATGGTGGACACTCTCTGCTGAGCCAACGCAACGAGTTTATCAACCCGATAACCCGACACTGAGACCAGGCTGAATGTCAGGATGAAGATCATGGCGCCATAGTCAAACCTTGCTTTGAACGATGGCACGAACCGGGAGAAGGTAGCCATGGAAGCTGCGCAACAAGAACACACCCAAGCAAAAAACAACGATCAACAAAAAAAACCCTTTTGGTTACTTCCTCAAGATCCATTGATTTGGGATTTCCTTGGTCATACCAAAGAGAAAAACCGAGCAAGCGATGACCAGTGGCTCCCCCCCTCCTCACTACGCC